TCGGGCTGTCACAGCGAGCATGCGCTGATTTTCACAGCATTAGGGCAGTGTTCGCTGGGCCCGCGGCCCCCTCCCCTCCCAGCGCTGGCTGCCGGCTCTCAGGTGAGGCACATGAGGCATCCAGGGAAGGGTGGCAGCGGAGAGGAGCAGGGACCAGGAGGGAAGCCTGTGTCTTACATGTAGTTCCGCACGGAGTCGGGGAGGATGACCACACAGCGCTGGCCCTCCTGCAGCTCCTGCGCGGCCTTCACAGCCACTGCCACCGTGCTGCCGGCACTGCCACCTGCAGAGAGGGCCACGGTCAGACGCGCCGGGGTGAGTGCACGTGGGTGCGGGCGCCGTGGCTCACGCCTGTCGTCCCAGCACTTTGGGAGGCCGCGGCGGATGAATTACAAGGTCAGGAGTTTGAGACCAGCCTGATTAGTGTGGTGAAACCCTGTCTCTACTAAAAAATGTACAAAAATTAGCTGGGCATGGTGGCTCATGCCTGTTATGGCAGCTACTGGGGAGGCTGAGGCAGGAGAATTGCTTGGACCTGGGAGGCGGAGGTTGCAGTGAGCCGAGATTGCGCCACTGCGCTCCAGCCTGATGACAGAGCGAGACTCCATTTTAAATAAATCTTTTCTTTTTTTGAGATGGAGTCTCACTCTGTTGCCCAGGCTGGAGTGCAATGGCATGACCTTGTCTCACTGCAACCTCCACCTCCCAGGTTCAAGGGATTCTCCTGCCTCAGCCTGCCGAGTAGCTGGGATTACAGGCATCCATCATCACGCCCAGCTAATTTTTTATTTTTAGTAGAGATGGGGTTTCACCATGTTGGCCAGACTGGGCTTGAACTCCTGACCTCAGGTGATCTGTCCTCCTCGGCCTCCCAGTGTGCTGGGATTACCGGCATGAGCCACTGATCCTGGCCAGAAAATGGTTTTTCAATTAAGACCTGCTTCCAATCTCTAGTTCGGGGCTCTGTTATCAGGGACTTGACCATGCTGAGGGCTGCTTTCCTTCCGCTTTCCCTGTCACCAGCCCCAAAGCGACATGACACAGGGAATGCGATTGGGGAAGCCCTGTGTGTCTCTGCCTGGGTTTCAGAAGCTGGCATGTGCTCTCTGAGCCCTCAGAGGCCTAGATTGTCTGTGGTCCCCGCAGGGCCTCTGCTGTGTGTGTGACTGGTCAGCGGCCCTGCCAAAGGCCACCTGCTCTGTCCACCCCCAGGCACACGGGCAGAGGGGCACAGGGTGGGAGGAAGGTGAGTGGGGTCGGTCCGGGACAGCCTGAAGCTCCAGAGACCTCCCCACCGCTCTAGGGTGGTGCTCGCAGCACCCGGTCCTGGCCATGGGCCCCGTCAATGCAGAGCCACTGCCCCAGGGGCCTGAGTGGGCTTGATTAGAAACATTAAGTGCCAGGAGAGCTTCAGCCTTGTCTTAGAAACATATTCTGGAAGGCAGCTCGAAGCCCCGCCCGCTGGCCTCCAGCCCTCACCTGAGCAGGTGACCACACTAGGCAGGTGAGGGCCCGGGCAGGCAGACACCACCCAGGGCTCACGGCCACCGCAGTTACACACCTCAGAACTGCTGTCTCGGCCAAGCGCGCTGGCTCATGCCTTAACCCCAGCACTTTGGGAAGCCAAGGCAGGTGGATCATGAGGTCAGGAGCTCAAGACCAGCCTGGCCCACATGGTGAAGCCCCATCTCTACTAAAAATACAAACATTGGCCGGGCATGATGGTGGGTGCCTGTAATCCCAGCTACACAGGAGGCTGAGGCAGGAGAATCACCTGAACCCCAGAGGTGGAGGTTACAGTGAGCAGAGAACGTGCCACTGCACCCAGCCTGGGCGACAGAGCGAGACTCCATCTCGTTGCTGTCTTACACGTGTGGGCTGGTGGCTGGCAGAGGGTGCGTCCCCAACCACCTCCAGCCCCCTCAGCCATCCCCGCTGACCCCGTACCCCAGCGGCCGCCACCCACTCACCACACAGCAGCCCCTCCTGGGAGATGAGCATGCGAGCAAAGGTGAACGCCTCCTCGTCATTGCTCTTGAACCACTTGTCCACCACCTGGGAGGGACCCCACCACGGCCCGTCAGCATCGGGGCCACTTCCGTGTGGCCAGGGGGGTGAACAGCCTCGTGGTGAACGCCATGTCTAGCTGGCAGGACCCCAGAGGTTACACTCCAAGCTCCCCGCCCCAGGATCCGCATGTCTGCAGACCTTCCAGTCACAGCACGTTCGGCAGACAGCAAAACCGCCCACCAGCCCCAGGGAGCGTCCCTGTGACCTGCACTCCACTCTTACTCAGGCCAAAGCCACCTTTGTGGTTCTTCACGGAGTTTTCTGGGGCCTTAATTTTCCCACGTTTCCCTGCTCCCTGCCCGGGCCGCGTCCCTCTGTGAGGTCAGGCCACACGAGCGGACATTGGCCCCCAGGCTACTTTCTCGACCTTCGAGACCAGCTTCTCACCACGAGTGCTGGGGCTCGCCCTTCCGTTCCCCTCCGCAGGGAAGCCGATGTGGGCCAGGAGCAGCCAGGCTCCCCGGCGTGAGGGTGAGTCACGGCGGCGCCGGTACTGCGCCGGGCTGGGACTCGACCTACCGTCCTGTCCAGCACAGTGGGGATGAAGTCGTAGCCGATCCCTTCCACCTCGTAGGTGGTCAGCTCCGTCCGGTTCAGCTCCTCTGGCTCCGCGAGGATGGAGCCTTCAGGGTCCACCCCAATGATCTGCAGGGCGCGTGGCTTTAGGTCCAGCAAAAGCCCGCTGGAGATGCCCAGCTACCACATTATCGGAGCGGCAGATGCTGCCACGGACAAGTGGCCACAGGTGGTGGCCTGTTCCCAGCCTCAGAGGCAGGACGAGAATCCCAGGAGCCCAGGCCCCAAGTATCAAAGCAGAAACGGCCTCATCGGGACTGAGCACTCGGTGCAGGCACTCGGAAGTGAAGGTGCGTGTCTGGGAGGAAGTGACCTCCCCAGGGGCCTTTCAGAGCCGGGCCCCAGGGCCACCGAGGCAGACCACCCCGTGGCGGGGCAGCCAAGCCTTCGGGACAAGGAGCATTGCTGGCCAAGCAGCAGTCGCAGGGAGAGAATCCGCTTCTCATTAGCGGGGCCTTTCCAGGTGTCCCTCCTCACGCCTGCTCTTAACCCCGAGTCCAGGAGCCCTCCCCCGACTCCCTCACACCCCAGCTGAGGGGCAGACTCAGGACCGGAGGACTCGGAGCTCCTGGCTGAGGAGGTCCCCAGATGGAACTCTGACCCCCACTCAGCGCAGGAAGCCCCCCTAGTCACTGGCCAGTGGGTGAGCGCCTGGCCTCAGCCTCTTATCCGCCGAGCACCGTCTTCCCAAACACCTCCCGGGTGGCAAGGAAACAGAGCAGAGGACAGTGTGCCGAGCAGGGCATGAGGAACGAGCGCTTTCGGCTTGGGAGCAGGGCCCACTCCGCGCTGCCCACTCTGCGCTGCCCACTCGTGCTGCCCACTCCGCGCTGCCCGCCCCGGCCCGGACGAGCCACTCACCTTGCATCCGGGACACTTCTCCTTCAGCTTCCTGGCGATGCCCGTGATGGTGCCGCCCGTGCCCGCTGAGGCCACCAGCATGTCCAGCTTCCCTGGTGGACAGACGACATTCTCAGGTTACTGCCTGGCCAGCCCACCACTCAAAGCAACAACCACTGAAAACACGCTCAGCCCAAACCACGGCGGATGACTGAAAAATTCGAAAGAGAAACTTCTCTGGTTTGAGCAGCCGCCATGGCAGCCATCGGTCGTAAAAGCCATTCAGGAGCAGGCAGCCTGGTGCGCCAGCCGTCTCTGCTCAGTGACACTCGGCCCGTACAACCCCCATTTGGCCGGATGCAGAAGGGCAGGACCCTGTCCGGGGGGTGCAGGCGCTGAGGGTGGGCAGAGGGAGGCTGGGAATGAATCACCCCCTGGGTGTGGATGTCTGCATGGTGTGGGTTAACTGAGTTTACACAGGAAATGGAATCAGTCATTCAGGCTTCGGCTCAGAAACTCGCTGGGCGCTCACCCTGCTGGCGGCCAGCGCGGGCATCTGGTGGACAAGTCAGAGCAGGGAAAGACTCGGTGAGGCTAAGCAGCGTGGGCACCCATGCTGAGGCAGGACTGTTTTTGCCAAATGAGAGAATTCTCACACATAAAGCCCAGGCAAGAAAATGTCTGGACCTTACAGCCTGGCTCCTGGGCACAGACCGAGGGTGTACTCTGGCCCCTGCCAACACCGGATTCCCAACAGGAAGTCAGGGCGCCAACCTCCTGGCAACTTCTCTCTAAAGGGATCTCTTGGGAAAACATCAGTACCAACCCCCACAGGCCTTGGCACCGAGTCCCTGGAAAAGGGTCCAAGGCTCCAGCCTCATGCCTGAAACAGAGTGAGCTCATCGCACATGTCACCAGCCCTGTTCTGCAGATGAATTCAGTGCCCGGGTCGGGGCACGATCCCAACTGAAGCCCCAGCTGCGAGCCCAGCACCAGCCTGGGCCCTGAACAGACTTGCTCCCTGCATTCTCTGCGGGAGGAGCCCCTAGACCTGGAGAGGCTGCTGGGTAAACAAACACAGCCACGCCCTGTGTGTGGCGTTACGGATAAGGGTAGGCAGAGAGGCCCAGAGGGCGCAAAGGACGGAGGAAACTTCTAGAGAAATGCTCTAGAGAGCATTTCACAAAGGGCACATTTGAGCTGGGTTTTGAAGGGTGAACAGGAGTTCACCAAGGAGAGGGCAAGAGATGTGCCCAGGCAGCCAAGGATAAATGCAATCAAGATGGACCGAGGGGACGCACCGTCGCACTGCTGCAGGATCTCCTCGGACCGTGCTGTCGTAGTGAGCCAGGGGTTGCTGGCGTTGCGGTACTGCATGGAGAGAGCAGAGCCCGTGAGCTGGCCCCCGACACCTCAGTCACCCCACATCCCTCACCGAGACCCCCCAGGAAACGCCTTCCCCCAGGCCCCGCGCCTCACCTGGTCTAGGATGTGAGAATTGGGGATTTCATTCTTCAGCCGCCAGGCCACCCGACGTGTGACTCCGGAGAGTCGAACCTGGCGCTGGTGGGCGTCCTCACAATCTCAGCCCCCAGGGCCCGCAGCACGTCCACCTGCATGAGGAAAGGGGGTGACCTGCATCTTCCCCCAGCCCAGACGCTCCCACCCCCGGCCCCGTGACCCCGCCCCGGCGGTGCCCACCCACCTTCTCCGAGCTCATCTTCTCCGGCATCACGATGATGCAGCGGTAGCCCCTCACGGCCGCAGCCAGGGCCAGCCCGATCCCTGAGGGCGCACAGAGGGTGAGAGGGGCCTGGTGCCCCCCAAGCCCTACCCTTCCCCTGCCTGGGACATAGGGGCACACCCCCATGCTGCTTCCTTTAGGGGCCCAGGAAGAGGGTTCTGTGGGGATTCCAAAACTGCCCAGCATAGCTGCCTCTGCCTTCATGTGTGGGGGAGAGACTGCCAGAGGCGAAAACAAAAGGCATGAAACCAGGAGGCAGCGGCACAGGACGGGAGATCCGAGTCCCCAGGCCCCCCTGGGTGCGCGGCACAGGAACAGCAAGACGCCGGGTACTCATCCCATACCAATTCCCAGGCACTGCAAGCTGCCAGTTGCCCCAACAGCATTGGCACCATCAACCCCGACCCCGACCACTGGTTAGAGGAAGCTGGGCCACAGGACACAGGCTGGCAGTGGGCACGAGCTGCCAGGGTGCAGCTGGCCGGGCAGCCCAGCTCACGCAAGCTACAGCTTAGCCTCCCCAGGCCCCGGCAGGGTCGGCACGGGCGGGGGACCGCCAGCCCCGCCAGCCCCGCTGGGCCCGGCACCCACCGGTGTTCCCAGACGTCGGCTCGATGATCGTGTCCCACCGGCTTCAGCGTCCCAGCGCGCTCGGCATCCTCAATCATCCGCAGGCTGATACGGTCCTTCACGCTGCCACCCGCGT